TGCTGAAAGGCTCAGGTGTCTCCTCGCTCTGTTCCCTCAGCTACCATTTGATGGAAGGACAGTGTGGGACATGAGTGTCAGAGATCTGGGATGTGGCAGGTTGCCCCGTGTTTGTACATGGGAGTCCCTGTGCATCCTGCCTGGTCTCACAGCAGGCTCCTCTTTGGCTTGTTTCTTTTCAAGCACCCTGGACTCACTCTGCACTGCCCCAGCCTCTCCTCTCCCCCCAGGCTGGGAGTGGAGAGGGCTCCCTGGAGATGAAGGATGGGATCGTTCTTGCTCAAGGACTGGGAGAAGTGAGGGAAGGGCCCTCACATCCCTCTTTTCTCCCTTTTGAAAACTGATTTTGCCCCCTGAAGCCATTTAGGACACAGCTAGCTGCAACCATACATGCGTGGCCAGTAGGGTAAGGAAGAGGAAGGCCTTCAGCATAGTTCTGCTCTTCTTGAGGTTCACACAAGACCCGCTGGTCACCAGATACCACTGCATTCCCTGTCCTCCGCCTCCACCCCAGCACAAAGAACCACTGCCGGGTCCAAGCACACCCTCCTCCACCCCAACACTTCCACTGAGCATGTCCCCGTGCCTCCCACTCCCACCGTTGTACAGAGACCAAGAGCAGAACTCGTTTGTACATAATGAACCTTATTTTGTATTATTGCCGATCCCTTAAGATATTGTATTTTGGAGACTCTCAGATCCTATTTTCAGTATTGTATTTTATTAAGAATTAGTGCGGGCTTGGCATCTACGAACTTCTTTCTTGTTAGCAGCTCACTTTCCCCTTATACTCCAGCAGCTGCCTCTTCCCTCTTGTTTGTTTTTTGTTTGGGTTTTTTTTTTTTTTTTCCAAGCCACCTTTACCCCTCCTCCTATCACTTGCTCTGCATTTGCTTAGTGAAGCAAAATAAAAATAAAATAAAAAGATTCAGCATCAGCCCTGGGTTGATGGGTCCTTTCATTGAGGCATGGTTGTCACACCAGCCCACATGCACAGCTCCTCACCTCCTGCTGCCTGACTGTCCTGTTCCCTGGCCGCATGCAGAATTGGTTCAGTGCTGGGACCTCGTGCTCAGTGTCAGGGGCTAGAAGCAAACTTGCATGTTTTATTTCCAGCAGCACTGTGATTTCTTTTGCAGTTCTGAACAAGTCAGAACTGTTCTGCCTCAGTTTTTTCTCCCCCTCCGAAATACCGCTAACATCATCCTCTTAGAAGGAGGAAGATCATGAAATAAAGTTTATGAGGTGCAATGAGCTCCTCTGATGAAGGGGCTGTGCAGGGGTCTGTAGACAAGACATTGCTAGTAGCACCGTGGCTCTGGCCCCATCCCATCAGAAAAAATACGTAAATCCTTCAGTTAACTAAAAGCAGAGCAGTTGCACTCAGATCCATAACGACTTGGGACCTGGCTGGCTGTCAGCCTGTAACCCTGATAGTCCATTTACATCCACGAAAACTGATAGGTTTTGTCCTGATTTTGTGTGAAACACAAGGCAACAGGGGGTCTAGAAAATGAATCTTCATATTCTAGGAAGCTCCATGTGGGTTCGTTAGAATTTGGCCATTGAAACTACTCCTTGCAATCAGGCCCTCCCCAGCCGGACGGCAGCCCAAGCAGGAGCCGCTCTCAGGCATGCTAAAAGGTGGTGGCTCTGTCTCCCGCCCCTGGCTGGGCTGGTACAGCAGGACTCTGTCCTTGCCACAGGAGGAGGATATCAGGCTTGGGTCTTGCAAAGATCTCTTTCTGTGGATTACGATTTCTTTGTGGAGAGGAGTAAAGCACTGAGCTGTCGCCACCCTGTTGCGACAGGGCTGGCCATTGAACAGTGGCGGGGAGAGAGAGTAGCTCTCTTTCCTTGGCTGGGTCGGTACTGCCAAGAGGGGGTGTGACATGGGATCCGTGGCGGGTTAGTCTGATGCGGGTTTTACAGACCCCTGCAGAGCTCCCTTCCCCTACGCACACCCACGGATGCAAGGAAATGCCTGACCTTGCCCTGCAGTTTGTGTCCTGGGCCAGAACTAGTTTTAAGTCGAGGGTCTGATGTTTTCTGATGTGGCACCTTGTCCAAAAGCAGCCTTCTACCCCTGCGTCAGTGTGATGCACCTTCCCCCACTGTGCGACCAGGCTTCTCCCCACTCCCACCAGATTTCATCCAGGGGAAGGGCTTCTGCCTTGCTTGCCCCTGTGCAACATTACCCAGCTCTTCGGGCGTTGCCTTCCAGGGAGATTCTGGCCTGTGCCCTTCATGCACGCTCCAAAGCGTCAAGGGAAACCCGTGCAAGAGGGGAGCTCTTAAAAGGACGATTTCTCAGGCTTTGGATCCTCTAACGCTGATGCAGCCGGAGCAACCAGAAGCCCCATCCATCAGGAGCAAATTTCCCTTAATCTCAACAAATCCTCCTAATTCTGCAGTCTACCGGATAACTCTGAGCTGCTCAAAACAGGCACATGAGGATCTTTTGATCCCTGCTATGCCTCCCGAAATGCAGCTAGCCAATCACACCTACCAATTTGGCTACAGCGACTAATTAGAGCAGAACAAGAGAATTAGCAAAGCGAGAAGGCACCTTCTTTACAAGTCACCTTCAGCCTCACTCAATTACGCTGGGTCTGCTCCAAATGCCCCCAGCCAAGCTCTGCCACGCCAAGCCGGGCTTTTGCCCATTTAGGGTCGCATTTCTAACAAGCCTCTGCACTGTCGATACGTACAAGCCCTGAACAAAAGAACACCAGCAGAACACAGGCTTCGTTTTTCAGAGACAAATTATTCCCAACTGTTCTCTGTTACCAGGCCAACTTGAAAAAATAAGAGAAAAGAATTGGCTTTTGCAGCTCGCCGCTGCTGAGCGGGCCGCTGGCAGCGCGTGGCAGCAGCCTGGCGGGTACATTGGGTTTGTTACAGAAGGACGTGTGCTATTAGAGCATCCCCACTCTCCGAGTCTGGCGTGGTCCCTCTTGCTGTCACCGTTTGGGTCTGTGCTAGCAGTTCTCACATGGATCCATCACGGGATCGGCAGGCTTCGGTCCTGTTGCCTGGCAAGGGGCCCAGGCTCTTGGACACCTTCTGGGGAGAATGGGGCAGTCACACCTCCTGACACCCCCCGGGTGCTGAGGGCTTGTTAATAGTGATGGCACCTGGCCGGACCCTGACCCAGCCCGCCTCAGCCTCAACAAATCCATGTTGATTTTCTAACCTGGTGGCTGAAATGGTGCTTATGGGTGAGCAGGGTGGAGGTTCCTCTTCTTGTGCCCAGGGAAGGAGACTGTACCCTCCCAGAGCTTTACTCGCTAGAAATGCCGCTTCCTAGAAAACCTGTGCCCTGCCTGTGGGGGGCAAAAAAAGGGAGGACGGGGTCTGTATGGCAACACTGGGCTGCCCTTGCGCCATCCCACATGCCCACGGAGAAGGAAATCCCTACCCAGGGCACGGGAGGGGCCCTGTCCTGCCTGTGCCCCAGGTAAGCAGGTGACCTGGCTCAGCTGAAGGATGCTTTGGGTGCCAGGAGGACAGGACTGACCCAACCCCACCGCCCAGCCATGCTGTCCCCAGTCAGCATCTGCCTGCTCTTCCCAGGTCCTCAGGGAGCTCTGATGGCATCCTCCAAGGGAAGGGTGACCCCACTAGTGACAGACATGTGAAACGTCCTGCAGAGACAGGTGGGCAGAGAGAGATGCAGGAGCCTGAGCAATCCTTTACCTCCCCTCATGCAGGCATATCCCGTGATGTCTCCTCTCCTCCAGACACACAAAATCTGGATGCATTGCCTGTGTGACAGCCGTACAGTTTGGCACATGGGTAGAAGTGGGCCAAAATCCTCTGCTGGCTGCTCCTCCGCCCAGAGAGGCTTTCTGTAGCGCAGCATCAGCCCCCGTGGGAAGGCAGGAGGCACCCACTGTGCTGCCCCTCTCTCTGCCTCGACCAGAGGCGCTGCAACCCCGGGGCTCTGCTGTGCCTGGCCCTTGGGAGGTTTCCTGCAATAAGGGCCTCTGCTTCCCTCCCCAGAGCTCCTTCCCTATGGCACCAACACAGCCATCAGTGAGAAACGCCCCCCAGGTGGTTCTTCCCTCCTTCCCACACCCGGACCCCGTGCTCCCCGAGCCCCCAACTTCCATCCACCCCAGCCTGTCCATCCCCTTTCTCAGCATAGCAGCCACTGACTCCTTCAACCATGAGGGACAAGACAGATGTTTGCCAAAATCTCCTGGGAGCGCGAGTGGCCCTGCATCCTGCATCCCCCATAGCTCCTCTGGGCAGCCCAGCTCTGCCCTGCCCTGGCAGCCCAGCTGGTGAGCACGGGTGAAGGTGGCCCTCATAGCACGTGGCCAACGGGGGGCACCCCATGCCAGGGTGAGCCCCGGGGCAGGCAGAGAGTCATCACCCAGTGGGAGGTGAGAAGCAGCCAGGTGCCACAGGTCCCTCTGCACCAGCCGGGTACCCACTGCTCCTCCCTTCCCCAGTGGAAGGGAGCCTGCTCCCAACCTCCACAGTGCCCATGGGAGGCAGGAGGACATGGAGCAGGGCCGTGCTTTGGTGCGGGGAGCACTAGCGAGCTCCCGGGCAGGTCTGGGTCCCAGCAAGCGAGGGTGAAGCCACTTCCCCGGGGCCAGCTCTGCCCATCGGGGAGGGCTCACCCAGTGGCACTCCAGCTTTCAAGGGGAACAAAACCCCTGTGGGGGCTGGAGGGGCTGAGTCACACGGCGAGGAGGGTGCGGGGCTCCCTGCAAGTCACGACTGTGCGGAGGAGTGGGCTCGGGGGCTGCCGTGCCCCTGGGAGGCACAAATCCCCCCACAGGCACAGGACGGGGGGGGAGATGTCATCATGACATTTAGGGCCAGACAAAGGTTTGGTAACTTGAACTAGAGGTGCTGGTGGGCTGTGGTTCCTAGGGAAAGGCACAGCCCTTCTCCAGCCCCTGCTGTTTCCCAGGTTGGGGTCAGGAGTGGTGTGGGAATGTGCCCTGCCACGGCACCTTGCAGCAGAGGTGCCATAGGGCCGCATGGAGGTGATGGGGAGCACTGGCAAGAGGGATGAGCTGCTCCTGACAACTCCCAAGGTAATAAAACAGTCAGAGCAGGCTGAGGACATATTCCAGCTCCTGCCGTGCCAGCCCTTCATGGGAAGACACTGGGTGATGGCAATGTGTTCTTGATGTAATACACGACTGTAGGACCTTGCCACGGGCAACTGATGCAGGGGGTGGCTCTTACAGACCCGAAGCTCAAATTTCCCAGTGCCCAGCAGGTAAAGCCTCAGCATGTGAATCTGGGGCAGAACAAATCCCAGACAAGCAGCCAGGCATATATGGGAGCTTTGTGGGGATCTCTCACCCCAGCTGGCATCCACAGCACTGGGACGGGCAAGGCTGAGGCAGGCCAGAGCTGGGACTGGGGCCTGGGTCCCAGCCCAGGACAGACAGATGATGCAACTCTCCTGATAGATGTGGGCAGAGGACAGAAGGGCCTTTCTACCTCTGGATGCCAGGATTGGGGAAAAAATGCCTTGTATCAGTAAAAAGCAGGGATAATGTGGCCTCCCAAGTGGCAAGGAGCTGAGTGAGCCTACTGGGAGGAGGGAAACCGCGCTACAGCCATACCTCTCCTTGGCTACCACTGTCCAAAGCTGGGGACCCCATCCCCAGACAGATCTCATCTGTGTTGGACAGTTGGTCAGAGCAGCAGGTACTTTGTTCTGCTGGGGCTGCTGTCACACAATTTTCCAGGCTGCCTGACTTTACCTGACTGTGCATCTGGTTAAGACAAGCGGCTGAGACCCAGCTCCCTGAGCAGCCCTTGCAGGTTGGCAGAGGCGAGCTGGGCTGCGAGCAGTGAGGGGTGGCTGAGTTGTCACCCTCCCCTTGCTCCCTGGCCTCTGAAGGGTTAAGTGCCAGTTTCCGAGTGTCTCTAAGGTGACACCAGGCTGCCGCTTGGTGCAGCTCTCCGCAGCCCCCCTCCCCACGCACACACTCAGCTCTCTTTCTGCTTTGTCTTTTTGAGGGCTGCTGCAGGATCGGTGCACAGGCACCTTCCTCGCTGCCTACCTCTGCCTGCCTCTCCCACTCGGCTGCTGCTGCCGGAGACACCAAGGGGCGTGCTGGGCCCCAGGGGGACCTCACAAAAGGCACCCCGGGCTCTCCTTCGCCTGCTGGGAGCATCGCCATCCCTGGACGCACTCTGTCCTAAGACCCCTTCTCTGGTGAGTGCTGTGTTTCCTGCTTCCTCCCCGCTGCCCTCGCAGTGCCGGCTCCTCCGAGGAGCAGCACTGACATCTCCGGGTTTCCATCAGTTGTTCCTCCGCTTCACCGAGGCAGGGCAGCGGAGACAGAAGGAGGCTGAGCTGCGGCGCCTGAGCTGCCCAAACCACTATCAAGAGGCCGATAAAAACCACTGCAAAAAGTTGGACACTGCTTTTTCTCTGTGGTCGTGCTCCTCTGGGTAGTTAAGCCTCGCCAAGATCATCCCACAGCCCTGGGGAGGCGAAGCGGAGCAGCACTGTGGCACCCTGCGGGGCCGGACCGAGCCGCCCGAGAGTTTTGTGGGGACAGAGCAGGACTCCCTGCCTGGAAAGGCACCTCACCCCAGCATGGCTGAAGGTCCTGGGAGCTGGAAAGACTTCACCCCGGCCAGGGGTGACGACGAGGCAGCCAGGGGGGCCGTGGCAAGCCTCCTGGGAGTGGCGGATGCAGAGAACGCCAGGCAAGCGCAACACTCGGGCCTCCATGGTGTGGATCCAGCTTGGGAGGAGATGAGAGGGGCAGTGGTGGTGGCGGAGGTGGAGGAGCAGTTCCTGCACTTGGCCATCAGAAAGCAGGTCTCCTACAGGTAGGAGCTCTGGGGTCCCCAAGCACTGGGGCTGGGCTGGGGGGGAGGAGTACCCTGTCCCGGGGACATTTCCCTCCCGTGAGTCAGGGCTGGCTCTTCCCAGTGGCCACTGGTGCCTTCCCACCAGAAACCATCTGAGCACAGGGACAAGGGGACCGGTTAGTCCCTTCCCTCCCCACCCATGCAGCAGCCCCCTCCCCAGTGGCAGTCCCCTTGTCACCCTCGCAGGCCCCCTTATTTTTCCTTCTACCCAACTCCCCTTTCCCATCACAGGGCTGCGATGCCTCCCAGGCCCCTCTCCAGGCGGTCCGTGCCCAACAGCCTCCCAGGAGCTCTGGCACAGGCCATGGGCTGGACGTTTCCCTCTTTCTCTGCAGCACCAGCTTATCGCTCTTCAACGCATTGGATGCAAGGGACTTCTAATAACATTGATTCTCCTCTTCCTCCTCTGCCCCAAGGCAAATGTCCCCTTGCTTGGCTCCCAGGTCCAGAACCCTTGATCCCACCTGGGGAGACTGAGAAGTGATGCAAAGATGAAGGGGCTGAGGTTGGGCTTAGGTTGGAAATGTGCCCTTTGTGGGCACCTTGCAGCAACAGGAGTATCTGTCCTGGCTCTTGGTGTGACTCTTCTGCCGGGACTGCTCTTCTTAGGACTCTGCTATAGCCAAGCAAAACTGGTGGAGGCAAAGAGTGGTTTTCATAGCTCCCATGGAGCTTTTATGGGAGCCATTACCTGGTGATGCTCAGGTGAGCTCCTATTCCCAACTCCAGCCATACTGTCTGAAACCCTGCTTGGGTCAGCACCTCCAGGAGCTCAGTTCTACTTTCTCTCACAGCAAATAAGGTCTGATGTCTCACCCTCCCCTTTCTTTCACTGTTTAAGCCCTTCTACCATTTAGTACCTGTAAACTTTGCAGAATGACTCTCAGGTGTAAATGAGGAGAAATCCTTCGACCCTGTGCCTGCCCGGAGTAAAAGTGAGCGCTTGCAGGACTGACCCTAGGCTGCTGCGAGGGTCTGGGACTGAGCGGAGGAGAGAAGGCAGGAGCCGCCTCCTTACCATTCTCCTGAGCTGGCTTGCTTGGCCCAGGGATGTCTCTGTGTCCTCCTGGGCTCAGTGTCACCATGTCATGCCGTGCTCAGCAAGCACCAGGTAGTTTACAAGCAGGTGGAAAACCAGCACGGAGGATCTTGGTGCCATGCCTGCTGCCGTGGCAGGCAGAGGCTGGATGGGCTCTCCCGCTGCCAGCCTGGGACTCGGGGAGTCCAGGGCGCAGAGCTCTGCCAGGGGGCAGATTTCAGGCAGGAGCTATCGGTCAGCCCCTAGCTGCACTCCCACATGTACAGCAGCCCTTCTCCTCCCTTGCAAGGGCGGCAGTGCAAACTGTGAGCAAATTGCTCTCTAATACTGCTGTAATGGGAACTAATGGGAAACTGTATTAATGCCTGCAGAGCAGGAGGGGCCCCGGAGCTGAGTCATCTGGAGCACTTGTTATTCTTGCAGTGGGTGGCGAGCAGGAGCCGGGATGGCAGAGTCCTCCCCCAGGCAGCCCTGCATCCCTGAGCCTCGCTGTGAGCTGGAGCAACACGCAGCCCTCCTGGCCCTCATTCCATACCCGGGGCTGCTCACCGAGGTGCCGGGCAGAGCTGGGAGGGTCTCTGCCCTGATGCCACCAAGGGTGAGGAATTACTGTGCTGAGCGGAGGGGGCAAAGCAGTATTTTCTCATCTTAGCTGTCTTCCTCCAGATGTGCACAGTGCATTTTGCAAACTGATTAGCCAGCTGCAATTATCCAGTCTCCCCAGAAGAGGAAGGGACCGTACTGCAACCTAATTTGATCAGCCTGAATTTGCTCCAGAATTGTCTAAGGTTGCTGGGGATTGTTTACATCCTGCTCGTCCTACCCCGGCCGCCCCAGGCAGGCAGCTCCGCTGACACGCTCCAGCCCATGACGACCTTCCGCAAAGCGCCTCTGTCCTCCTCAACCCTCACAAGGGGTCTCTTTGCAAGAGGCTTTGCTCCATCCAATGTGGGCTTTGCAGAGGAGAGGAGTCTGGCAGGGTCAGAGGGGATGCCGCAGCTATCTGCAGGCCAGTGCCGAGGGAGGAGGCAATGTTTGGGATGAGCTGCTTCCTCCACCCTCCGTTTTGGGCAGCCAAGCAAAGGGAGGGGAAACAGGAGAGGAAGTGTCTGGGGGTGGAAATCTGCTTGTGCGGTCCTGCGACGCCCACGCAGGGCTGGGTCTGGCTGCTCCCTGGGGCAGGTCAGGCGGTGATAGAGCTATTGCCCAGAGATGGGCTAACCTTTCATCAGGTGCCCCTCCTGCAGCACAAGAAGCCCTGGGGGGCTGACAGAAATCCCCTCACCATGCTGCCTGGCTCTGTAGGCACTTATCGAACCCCAGTACAGAGTTTGGAGGACCTCCTCTGTGGGCTGTGGGCATCACAGGTGTCCTCAACGTCAAGCAAAGATTGGAGGCCCCGGTCCTCCTGCTGCCAACCTGCCTGTTCCTGCTGGGACCCGTTAGTCATCACAAAGGGCAGGTGGCATGAGCTGCTACATAAAGGTTTTGAAATAAGCAGAAATGATATTAAGCCCATGGAAATAAAATTCCTTCCATAAATAGCTGCCGTGGTGTATGGAGGCGCCTTGGGCGGGTGGAAGAGAGCTCAGCACTCAGGTTATATTTAGGGCTTTGAGTAGCAGTTTCATGCCAAGCTTATTAATGATGCTGGCTTGTGCACCAGATTTGCACATTCTGGGACAGTTTTCCCAGTAGGGAGGTGCTTCTGCAACGCCAGAAGGACCCCGTGCTCTCTGTCACCGCAGCAAACCCTGAGCAAGCGCCAGGGCTTTGTGTATCACTCCCTGGAGAGTCGCTTCAGCCAAGGGGAGTCTGAAGTCAGCTCCTGCTAGCTTTGGGTGTCTCCACCAAGGTTTTGTGGTGGGGCAGGAGCATCTCTAGCTCCCCAAGTGGGGCAGCTCCAGCAGCAATAAGGTGAGTTAGAGGCTGGGGGAACTTTGCTCTAGGAAAAACCCTGTGACCTGGAGCCAGGGAGGCCTGGGACAGGTGCTGGCTGGCCGCAGCAGCACCCTGCAGCCTCTCCGGTGGGGCTGGGGACCTGTGCAGTTCTGGGCTCTCTCTCATCTTTGATGCTTTCTTGGTTGCTTTCGGGGTGACGCTTGCAGCGGTGGCCTTTGTCACTGCCACTGCTCCCAGCAACCCAGCCCGCAGGGGTGTTTACCTAGAAAGGAAACCACAAGTGCACAAAAGCTTGCTGCACGGGCTCCCCGCAGGCTATGTCTATGGGGCGAGGGACGTGCTGGGCATCAGACCCTTCTGCTCTCAGCCACTTCCGCAGGCAGTGCCCGGCACAGCCCACACACCACAGGGCTCCTCACAGGCATCTTGCGGCATTGCGAAGAAGGGTCCCTGTGGCCCTCTGTGCCCCCCAGCCTGGTGTTAGCCCCAGTGGAGCAAAGCGGGGCGTCCCCTTGCCAGCTCCCATCCCTGCTAGTGAGATGTGGGGCACCTTGGCTGCTCGGTGCGGTCCTTGGCTGGCAGATAGAACACGGCTAATGCATCTCACAGGCTGTTCTGCACCAGGGAGCTAAATATAACCCAGAGAGTGGAGCAGAGGGGGCTGCTTTGTAATGTAAATAGCAAGGGAGCTTGGTCACAGGTGCAGGCAGGGCAGAAGGGAGAGCTGGCAGGGCCTGCTGGGGAGAGGGAGGTGGGAGCCTGGCGGGGCCGGGGGGAGCTCGTTGCGGCTCTCTGCCATCTTCTCTTCCTTCTGCCTTCAGATCTGGCTGGGCTTTGGGTTTTTGTGAAGTCCCAGGGCAGAGGGTGTGCAGCCCCTCCGTCCCAGCTGGGCAGGGCAGGGGAGGAAGGAAAGGAGATCCTCCAGCTGCAGGGAGAGAGGGGCAGAGAGGAGCCTCCTTCCTCTGAATCCTGCCTGCTAGCCTTTTAATCGTGTTAGCCCAGCTGTGCAGAGCAGCATAATCAAATTCCCATTCATTCCCAGCAAGCCGAGCCCACTCCGCTCTCACTGTGTCTCTCTGTACAGCTGGGGAAAGGAGATGGCTGGCACCCCCTGGCACGGCCAGAGGGAAGCTCACAGTGCTGGAAAGTCCTAATGAGCGGGTGGCTCCTCACAGACCTTGGTGGGGGGTTGACAAGCAGGTGTCTCACCATCCCCTGCCTTGACTCTCTCCAGAGCCAGAAACAAGCTCTGCTTGCTGGGCATGGCGCTTGTGAGAGCTCCCAGGTGCCGTGACAGTCCCACCACTGGTGGTTGCCCTCGCCATCAGGCACAGGCTCTGGTGGACACAGGGGTGGGATGGGTTTGGAGTCAGCATCACACAGTGCTCGGTGAGCAGTGCTGGTGTGTATTCACTCCATGGCTTTCATCCTGGATGCTCCTAGGTGCAAGGCAGTGGTAAACTGGGATTGGGCTGTGTGTAACAATAGATGGAAACATCCCAAGAGGCAGTTTTGGAGAAACTGGGAGGCTGTGGGTACAGCCTGGCTGCGCACAGACATGCCTGCAGCAGTGCCAGGGCAGGGCAGCGTAACACAGCCCCAAGCCCCCATCTTAAACCAGACACGCTCCCTTGTTTAAGCTGATCCAAGACCATGCTGCTGCCAGAGGGGATGCTCCTGTCCTCCCTTCTGCTGATGTTTTTCCACATCAGGTGGAACAGGCCTGCTCCCTGAGGCAGCAGAAGACACCATTAGCCTTCCCTGGTTGTCCCCACAGCCACAGCCTTGCACGCAGTGGGGGTGGGGGTGGGGTCTGTGGGGTGGGCCTCCCCGAGAGCCGG